AGTTTGTTCACCACTCCGTTCTGTTGAAAAATCTCTATTAATTCAACTGTAGTGGGACAAAAGTTTAAGCGGTCGAAAATGAAGTGGTCTTTTTCTTTCAGTTCAGGGATAAAATCAGGAAGCAGTATGGCCAATGTGGAAGATTGCAGGCAATCACAAATTTATAAATGCGATTATGTGGTTCGGCCAGTTTCCTGAACCTGTACGCATAAAAATAGTTTTGTGAAAACATTGATGACATGATCAGACCAGGACAGGTTTTGGGTTATGGTGACACCAAGGTATTTAATAGATACAGATTTGAGGATACTTTGATTGTTAACTCTAAGATCAGGGAGATTATTACCTAATGAAAAGTAACGGGGACCGGTTTTAAGACTGAATGGAACTGCAATGCACCTACTGATTTTCCCTAAAAATGTCCGCGAGAGGTAGTCAACGGTGAACAATTAATAGGATAATTTCCTACTTGGGCATCAGTTCGACTATGCCACTATTTTGTGGAATACAAATATTGAAAAGTTTGATTTTGAGGCAGAATGGAATGAAATACTAATTCCATTAGGTTGTTCAACATAATGTTTGCCGTGTGAATGGCGATGCGGAAACTGGGGATGATCGCAGTTGGTTAGTATTAGAAGACTTTCCATACTTTGGGTGTATCTTGTGTGCATCATATAGCGCGCATCTTTTGCTTCGTCATTGGTGTGATAGTTGCCACTCTTCGTTTCTCAACGTTGGTTTTTAGGAGATAGGTATGGACGTAGTTGTGTAAGTGGTGTTCGGAATGCAATTGGTAGAAGACACTCTGGATCATTTAGTAAGATAGTCTTCTTAGCACTGACACAGTCATTTAATTTTATATTGCAGTCTAATCTTCCAAAAGTGGCAAAAGGGTTCGATTTTTCACCAAATAAAAGGACTAGGTTTAAAACCCGAAGGTGTAAAAGCATGCCAAGCATGGATTGCTTTTGAGCGGATATGCATTCCGCCATAGCATGAAGTTAGTACGATGTGAAGAGGGACGCAGTTGAACTAAAGTTGTGATGAAGTGGAGGAGATACACGAAAGCAAAACCCCGTTCACGAGAATGCACCATATCATTCAGCTTTTGCGCTCCTCAATTCGACTGGTCCCGAGTTCTCTAACTGGAAAGCCCTCACGTGGCTTGTATGTCCAAGTGCCCCAGATAGTGATTTTAGACTCTTACGGCAGATGTTTGTTCCATCAGCNCATCAGCTTTGGCCTTCGACTAATCATCTATTAAAAAACAGCGTCCTATTCATCTCGATCTATGGAAGTTGGACACCTACTCCAGTATGCAAACTCCAATAACTGAAGTTTCTCGTCCATTCACCACACTGTTCGTCCTGTTGTCTCACACAACTCGCGCAATGCGATATAGCTAGCCTCTTTTGAACGCCGATTGTCTGNAGAGCAGCTACAGAAAGTACTCATTCATCTCATGGACAGATGAATGTCACGAAAGTGATACAGATGTCTCAGATTGATACATGCCGATCGAGCCTTTCCTCTATCTACTAACACCTCATTTGAGATCCTTCTGCCAGGTGAGATGTTGCTACCGAAATAGAAAGATTTTCCGCTATTATCATTATGTTTCAAATGAGCGCGGAGACTGGATCAACTCAATTTAATAGCAAACGTTTAGACTATGAAGATTTAAAACAAATTCCAAAGAAACACGCCAACAGTTAAATCATCGGTTCTCGTAGCTCGGGTGAACTGAATTCCATTTCGCATGTTCGCCGAGCTTGGCAATTTGCTTGCAAACGTTTCATCACCAGGGGAGGTGACATCATCACTACTTGTGAAGTGACCACTTCATTTGAATCGAATGGATGGTCTTCCACATTCACCCTTCTTACTTACCTTCGCTGGGGAAGTCACGTGTGTGTCAGTTTTCTTGAAAATAGTTGCTGTTCCTTTCGAATAATAGGATTTTTTAAAAATTTTCTTCGCTGTACTAGATTCATGTTTTCTCTACATGCGTCTGGTAGTAATACACCATACATCATCCTTGTCAGCGATGGGCTGAAAACTATGCTTTAATTACCACATTAGCACTGGGGATGGAAAACGCATACTCAACTGTACCAAATGCGTTCAAAAATATATATATTTTTGCTCCCAAATTAATTTGACTCCCAGTTTTTATCCCTCACCTATCAAATTTACACGAGGAAACCAATAGCCATATTGTTGTGGGAATCGAAGTAAACTCTCATCAATTCACCATGGTTACCAACAGTCCTAATGTCTGTGATGATTCGAAATGTCGCAGATATACTATCATTGATAATCAGGCTGGTAAAAGTTTCTCACCGGTAGCAAACTTGTTCCGACCTTGTCGATCGCCAGGAATTAAATACATCCTTCCCATTTCAATACCTCAAAAGAAATACTAAATTTTTATCTCCAGTTGTTGTAAAAAACAGGACGCATATTGTGAATCCCGAGTGACTAATGTAGAAAAGCGACAGATTATATACATAGTCTAATGTGCATTGATCTCTTGGATTGTATTTGTGGTTGGTAAAGCTGTTCTGGGCGTTTGACTTCGGTGTAGTACCGAGGTATGGGTGAACAATGCACTAACTGAACTGAAGTGTATAACTCACAACATTCTTGCAACAACTTTGCTCCCAGACACCATATCACGTGATTTTGTCTATTTTTATGAAGGGCATTCTGTCTGCTTGTTTCCTATTGTAGTTGGTAGTTGATATTGATTAATTCTCATCCCCACCTGTTTCGTGCCTCAGTGTAAGCCCAACTGTTTGTGCTCTAAATGGCTTTAATGAATGCATTCTGTTTGGAATAGACCAGTCGCATAGTCAAAGAGGGCCCTTTTGTGTTTCTAAATTATCAAAACACTTAGGTCACCGGGACTTTGATTTTCTATACGGCAATGATATGAACAATAAACCACACTTTTGTTTCCAAAACATGACAACTCTGCTTACGGGTTGTGAAATAAAGAATCTAATGAACGCGTTGATTATTATTTTCTTGTTATTGCATTCGCTTGGGTTCTCAGGCACTTGTAGGCAGACAAACGCAATTGGTTTCCTCTGATTGACACAAAGCTGTGCGATACACAGAGCACGTTCAGAACATTACAGAGGTATCAGCCCCATGTATTTTATCAAACTCGAGCGTGATGGAGCCTTTAGGGGGTTCAGAAGTTATGCCAATTCTCACAAAATGCAAAACGCTTTCTTCAGGAAACTATAACTGCTCATCTGAGCAGCTTCTGAAAGCGTTTGCTCGTCTCGCATCTGCCTCTTACCATTCGGATGAAAAGTTGTTAAGAATATCTGGAGATCTGATTATTTTTTCGGCATACTGTAGTAGAAAACTTACTCGATTTCTCAAATTGTAGGTGAGTACCAGAGAACGCGAAAAAGAATTGGCGAAGGCCGAATAGAATTTGAGCACTTCAAGCAAATTGTCCCGTTTGATACAATGTAAATCACAGTAGGTCAGCGCTCGCACACTGGCAGCGCTTTGACCGATGTCCGATTCTTTCCACACGGGCTGGCCAAACACATCACCCTTGGCTGTAAAGTTAGAAACGTGAAAAAACAGAGAGAGCATAAACAATAACCAGGCTGTCGTCGGATGGCACGATCCATATTTTGAGGAGAAAAATGATACATCGGCAAGGTCGAAAATAGTATCCAATTATTCCCATCTAAACTAGACCGAGATTAGTTCAACTGCCGCACACGAAGCGATGCAATCTGAGCAGTATCGTTCAAGATCACAAAAGTATACAATCATACCGTGCTCTAAATTTCATTACTGACTTGGTGTACAGCATTTGTGTACATCCTGGATGGTTAACTGGGTGACAGGCTTACTTTCTTTTCGCGAGTAACTGTGAGCGATGCAAAATGAGATACTTAATGCTATGTAACTAGGCTTAGCAAAAATATCACTTTATTCTCCTATTATTCTATTTATAATCCAATTCTTTCAATACACCAAGGTTGAATTGAGGATATAATTTGGAAACAGTGCTACACTATCAGACCTGAGGACCATAGAGACGACTTGTTTCCTACATGTCTGTCACGGCTCACACACGTGACAGATTGGATGTAGTCTGTCTGTAACAAGGAGCAAACTATGAAGAAAATCGGATGTAGAGTTCCAATTATTTGTGTCCAGTGTGATACATTCGCTCACAGTGTAATATGACTGCGTGTAGTGATCAGTGGTGCAAGTTCTCAATTAATTTGAAAACTCAGTCCACTGGAGTTCTCCATTTTCTTTTCGACTCTACTTTCACTTTCCTGCCTTTCTCCTACTGCTTGATCCAACTGGGTAGCCAAAAGACAGCAACCGAAACCGGCGCACAAAAGTGCATGGTTAATGGTTGTACATATTGAACTGAAACATTTTAATTTATATTTAATATGGCATCAAGCGGTGATAGACATGCAGGGTAATGGTATACATACTGAATTAGAAGAATCCAGGTAAATGTTTTGACAATGATAGTGGTAAACAGCCCAACTATTTCGGAACTTTAGCAGTAGGTAATGATAGAATCATACAAAGGATTAACCGTTTAAGGTAAAGTGAATTGCAATTATCGGCATACCTTGGGAGAAATAGATGCATCGGTTGAAAGCTAGATAGACGATTTGAGCTGAGAAGGGAGAAACACTGATGATCGAGATGGATGGATGATATACGGTTTGATCAGAAAAGGATGGTGATAGCGCATACTTGCAGTAGTTGTGGTTGGAGTTAAGGTGAGGAGGGAGGAAGTGCGTGCTGTCACCTTATGCACATTTGATCAAGTTCTTCGTGATCACATTTATTGTACCAGATTATTTTGTTTGGGAAGCTTAATACATATATGCTCATTCACATATCGAGTAACGATGGAATTCGGTGCGCTTGTAAGATGACTTGTAAGTATTACGCATACTTTCCCAGTAAAAGGATTTTCTTTATAGTAGTCTAACGTCTGATGTGTGCTGACGATTAGATATTTGAGGATGTATTTTATACTTGGTGAGAAGCTCATTTACACCATTCTCCTCATTTGGTTGCTTCTCCGTGTGTGTCCAACGTACAATGTAAGTGAGCTAAACGAGATAGAGCTAGAGTCCTGAGTGAGGAACTTATACTTTCCTAACTGAAAGGTCAAAGACGACGTGGTGAGATGAACATGATTGAGCTGCCGGAAAAGTAGGTCAAGTTGTTTTATAAATACACTCCTTGAAACGTTTCACTGCGTTGATTAGTTAGAAGGAGGAAGTATCATTCTGGGAACAAGTGTTTTTTAATTTGTATGGATTTTTATCGCACGGTAATTACTGAAGACTTCCGGGTACTCATTTAATGCGGAGCTTCATGTATTCATGTACTTTTTGGATTAAAAATGTTTCACTTCAACTTGTATCCACCTGGAACAGTTTAAAGGTATTAGTTCGTAATAACGAAAGGAATGATTTTTGCACTTTACATATTACTTGCTGAAAAATCTGTTCCCTCCTGACTGTTCTTTTTCCATTGTTGGATTACGAAACTCCTACCAAGAAACTGGTTTATTTTGATACTTTGATTGATTAGTAAAAGGGATTAACAACAAAAAATGTGAATAATTCACGTTGTTCTCGATTCGTAGCACTTTCAAATGGTGCAGACAGATCTGGAGTCAGAAGTCCTGTGGTTGCGAGTTCATCAAACAGAAAACAAAAATGTTCGCATCTATAAGCGTACGTTCTATTACCAATTGGTCCACAGTATGCAAAAGCATGATACCTCTAAACATGAATCTGGATGACACCAAATTGTATTTGAACTATACTCAAATCACCATTAAAACATAGAATGTTTGTTCAGGAGCAATATTTTACACCCTTGATTAATGGGAGGAACTATTGAAGTGGATTCCGGCCTTCAAAATAATGAACCGAATAACTTCGATTCATCTTTCTGGTTGACCTGGTGGTGGTTGGAATCACAATAGTTTTGATCACTCATGAGTTTTACTGCTACTCATGATAATTGATTGAATTGAGTGGACAATTCCAGAGTGTATATGTTTAGTACGTTTTACTCAGCGCCCGTCGGGGTGAGAGAATGTTGTGAGTATCGGTGTTTTTGCATGCACTGACATGGTTCGGCGGTCTAACCGATTGACACTGTGTATAAATTCCGTCGTTCTTGCAAGTCATACCGAGCGGTAACATTTTTGAGTGATATGTAGTGCATGAGGTTATGCTAAACATGGAAAACGATGGTTTGAGTTGTAATCAACCGTTATATATGCGCAAACATTCTTTTCACCGGAAGTGAGCTCTAGAATACCACTACCATTACTCCCTGTATCGATAAATATCGAAAAATTTCCCGTATTCAAGAACCCGGTCTTCACTAACTTTCTGCAGCTGATGTTGAACTACTGATCTGTTTTCGGTATGGAAAATATCATTTTAGATGTCTAGCTTTGGCGAACGAAGGGGCCTTGGGCAAAACGAATGTGACGCTCAGCTGTCAAACGTACTCTAAAAATACGATTTACGACGTTCTGGCGGAAGCTGTTTGAAATTAGTTGTACAGGAATCGGTGAATTGCATGATTTTTTCTCGACATCTGCAAGGCCCACACCGTCTGTCCGTGGAGTAATAAAATAGAATGAGCTATCACATCTCACTTGACCTCGCATTGTTATCGTGGTACCATTGCCTCATCTTTCTAAATCTGTTGTAAATTATACACCGCCAAATTGAAAAATGACTTTAAAGGACAATCGTTGTACATTAATCTCAAACGGCCTAACCCGAAGTCTATACATTAATTTAGTGGCCGGAAAAACCGATCTCTATATTGGCACACTTTGTATTTCGTGCATTGCAACTAAGTTCACCGATATTAAGTGATTCATATTCCAAAATATTCTACGCTGCAGATCAAATCATAGGTGGGTAGATATCCACAATCGATAAGAGTCTTTTTATTTTATTCATTTACGGTTTTTGGTCGTATCACCAAGGAGAAACGGTTGAGCTTATGCTCCAGGGCAAGTAGCTGACGGTTTATCTTGTTTGTTGGTCGCGGTAGCTATATGAAACTAGTTTTTCATTTTTTCTCGACAAAAGCCGAACATTCGTTGGAAACACCAAGGCTAACCTCCTTGGGTAGGTTTTAATCGATACACTATGCTCTGCGTTTCTTTCGAATGGGGAGCTGTACTTCTTTGACGCAAATAAACATGCTAGTTTTTGCAAAGAAAAGCTTATGGATAAAGTGAATGCTGATGATTTGGTATATTTTGATTGAGCCAAAATCTCAGAAAGTACTAACCAAACTTTTCATGATGCTGATAAACGCATGTTTCATCCCACCCCCTTAGTACTTCGCGGACTAAGGTGGTTATCTAGCTTTTGTTGAAGTTGACTGGTTTTGTTCTATTTATTTTATTTATTTGTTCTCAGCCTATTTATCCGTGCTTCACACCTCAGGGTGGAAAATAACACAATGAACGAACAACTGTATTGTTCACCTCAGTCTGACTAGCATGGCAGATTTCGTCCACAGCGATAGTTTGTCAGTTGTTAGCCGGACAACTTTGACGGGCGAAGCGGTATGCAGCCTGTTAACCACAGTCAGAAATGTCCCACCAGATTAGACATGAAATATTGAGGACCTGCATCACGAGACAGGTTAGAGTTTGGGACTTGCTGAATGTCAAGCTGAATGAGTAAATAGGGGATTCTGTGTGAAGATGAAATCTGGAGGTTTGACCGTTCAGATGAAATACCTCTAATCTACAACTAGTAACAAGCAACTAAGAGCTGAAGGTGAAAACATGTATGAATTATTTCCGATCTCAAACAGCACTGCAGCTCGTCTCAATACATCTACAATCAGCTTTCCAGGGACAGTCGGTGTAAATCGCGTTTACGTTTCGCGTTATTAAGGACATACAACGGCAGGAAAGGTTGCTGCTTAGCTCCTGATGTAGGGGAGGTGTTTTTATTAAAGGAGGGCTCTACTTTTATAAAATTAACGACTCTGTTAGGTCTATTAGCTCATCACTTTATAATTCTGTATTTTTATGGGTTTATTTTGCTTCCAATCCTATTTCTTGTTATTACAATTTTGTTTCAAGATGAATCTGATGTTTAGTGTTTCCACTAAACAATTGGAGACACACTTGTTATTTCTACGGATATTTTAGATAAGATACGATCGATTATTCCCTTTGGTTGCTGTTACAGATTGTTTTCACTTTTCGGCTTTGAAACAGATTTTAGTCGACCTAGTGGATCCGGATTTCAAGTACTCAAGTGATCAGCCTTGAAAGTTTATCTCATAACTGCTGTATCTAATGTATATATATACAAGTATTGACTAAACTCGTGCAACATCCTAGTTTTCATTACATTTGTTACTCTCAATT